ATTATATAATATGCTGCCATCTAAACTTTATTCTCTTACATCACACGAGTCTACACCGTACTATATACTGCCATAGACAAACCCAAAATTAAATTATATACTGTATTGCTATAAACCACCTTATACATTTTAATATAACACTATGTATTATTCTACCCACCCTAATGTGGTATCACACTGCTATATGTTAACTATACAATTACGATACTATATATTACTTTGTACATTGTATTAAGCATATAAATGTTATACTATTTGTTATTATACACTGTACCATTGACCGTCGTGTCAATGGGTGAGTCGTGGGGGGAAACTTGCAGCAGAGCAAAGAATCCATTCCCTGCGGAGAATACAATGCCAGTGAGTGGAACGCGGTCTGAAAGTCACCGTAAACGTGAACACAATCAGTTAAGATCCGAAATGGTTTATTACGTCCTTCCAATGATTGCTAAGCCAGAATCCATTTTCTCGGTTGAAATTGTCTCTGTGTTTGTATATGTGGATCGCCTCATGAACGAATCTCTCATGATAGCCAGATGGCTTGCAGAGAACCTCTGTCTTGGAGAAGTCAATGTCATGTGAGCCCACTGAGTTGTAACAGTGATCTGCCACGGCTGAGGTGTTTGTCCTACCGTGTTTCAGGTCTGCTTTATGTTTACGGATGCGGTCCGAGACATGTCGTTTTGTTTCTCCAATGTAACTGCTACCACAGAGGCAACTTAGTTTGTAGACGCCAGGGTACTGTATGTCTGGAACCACATCTTTTACAGACGGGACCAGATCACGGATTTTATGTACTGTGTTGAATCGGACCTGGATCTTGTGTTTAATCAGGATTTTTGAGATCTTTTTTGTGACCCCAGCAATGTAGGGTAAGGTGATGGTCTTGAAAGGCTCCTCAACAGGATCCTTCTTGATGGTTGGAGTGATGGCTTTGCGGATTGTGTAGTCGGAGTAACCATTAGCCTTAAGAGCTTGGCGTACGTGTTTGAGTTCACTGGCAATGTGTTCCTGGTCGGAGATGCATTGGGCTCTATGGTATAGAGTCTTGATGAGGGAATTTTTCTGGGATGGATGGTGGTGGGAATCCGGTTTTAGGTAAGCATCTGTATGGGTGGCTTTCCTGTAGACAGAGTGGCTCATTGAAGCATCAGGTCTCCTTTTAATTAGGACATCCAAAAAGGGTAGCTTGCCATCTTTTTCGACTTCCATGGTGAATCTGATGGCTGGGTGTATGGAATTGATGTGGTCGAGAAATTGGTCTAGAGCAGGCTGGCCATGTGGCCAGATGACAAAAGTGTCGTCTACGTACCTCTTCCATAAGATCGGGCGTAGAGTGGCAGTCTGGATGGCGTCAGTCTCAAATTTCTCCATGAAGATGTTGGCTACAACCGGAGATAGGGGGGAGCCCATTGGGGTGCCCTCAGTTTGCTTGTAGAAAGTTCCATTCCAGGTGAAGTATGTATTGGTTAAGCAGTGTCTCACCAGGGGGGGTACCCCAGCATTCAGTCCTTGATTAACCAAGTCTTCAATGATTGTGATGGTGTCAGGTACAGGAACTTTGGTGAATAAGGAAACCACATCAAAACTGACAAGCAGGTCGTCTGGGGACAGGGCAATCCCCTTGATTGTCGATACCAGGTCAGTAGAGTTTAGTACCGCAGAGGTGGTTTTTCCAGTGAAAGGCCGTAGGATTTCAGACAAAAAACGAGCCAATTTATAGGTGGGGGAGTTGATAGTAGAGACAATGGGACGAAGAGGTGTATCTTCTTTATGTATCTTTGGCAAGCCGTATAATCTTGGTGGCCTGGCTGCAGAAGGTTTCAACGAGAACTGTTTGGTCTGATCAATTAATGGGGTTGAATCAGAAATGATTTGCTTGGTTTTAGAGACGAGGCTGTTGGTGGGGTCTCTTTTTAAATCCTTTATATTAAGTTCGCGTGCTTGCTTGCTTGCTTGCGTGCGTGCTTGCTTGCTTAGGACCGTGCAAATCTTTCGGTCGTTTTTTAACCCACTTGCCGTGATCCAATCGAGCTGACATTTTCCACACAGACTCGTTGTGCCAGACAATTATTGATCGTGAAAAAAAATTCCCAAAATTTTACACTTTTTAGGCAAAAAAATTTTATTTTACATATATTCAAATAGAACGCATTCATGGCTTTGGCTGAACGTCAGAGTGTAAGAGCCCAGAGCGTAACCCCTCCACAGGCCGTGGTGGAGTAGCGCAGTTGGCAGCGCCCTCGCTTCCAATGCCAAAGGTCGCGGGATCGATCCCCGCGTCCTCCACAGGCGAATATATTTTTAAATCCTTTATATTAAGTTCGCTTGCTTCGGACCGTGCAAATCTTTCGCTCGTTTTTTCACCCACTTCCCGTGATCCAATCGAGCTGACATTTTCCACACAGACTCGTTGTGTGTGACAATTAATTTTCGTGAAAAAAAAATCCAAAATTTTACACTGTTTAGGGAAAACAAATTAAATATTTAATTACCAATTGCTTAATGGTGGCAGACAATCATCTGACCCATAGGTGGCAGCCATCTCAAGCCAGAGGACGAGAGGACTCTAGCCGCCACGCATATAAAGGATTTATAGTGATCGTTGAGTAGTTCTTGGATTTTGTTGTATTCTGTTTTGTCCATGATGACAGTGGCATTGCCTTTGTCGGCTGAGAGGATGACAATGTCATCCCTCTTTTTTAATTGAGCTAATTCAAAACGCTCATCTTTGCTGATGTTGCTAGCTGGCATCTTAGCGTTTTTGAGGGTTGCAGAGATTTCGGATCTTGCTACGTCTGCAGCAATGTGACTCAGGCCCTTGAGAGCTACATCTACTCTAGCAATTATATCATTAACTGGTATGTGTCTAGGTGTGACTGCAAAGTTTAGTCCTTTAGCTAAAACGGATTTCAGACCTTCAGAAATAGAACTGTTACTGCGATTAATTACGACTTTGTTAACATCTAGCTTTTCAATGTGTGGGTCCGGTTTCTTCTTTGAGAGGCGCTTGAATTTGGAAATCAAGTTGTCCTTACATTTGGTCCCACCTCCCTCCCCTCCAAACCAGCTTAAATATACGCTCAAAGCTTGGTGGTGTTTCATTCTTCACCTGAGGACGGCTGCTTGCGTTGTGGCCGAAACGTCGTGAGAATTATTTTATTATGTTTTATTTTTATTATTTTATTACTTCCCTTCTACGTGACTTTACCGAAAGAACCAAGAAGATGAATCCCTGCAGTCACGAAAGCTTTAAATCGAAATTTAACCGCCTCTACGGGGAGGGTTTCTACATAACTTTGAGATCCTTCAACAAGCTCCGGGATAAGAAGGCTCAGCTAATCGAGTCTCTCACCTTTCTGAAGAGATGCCGCGACTCTAAGGTAATACCAAACGCATTTACACTAACATCTGCTGCTGTAACTTCTTCTAATACGAAACGAATTCTGTCTAGAACTAGCTTAGCTCTTATCTCAGAGAAAATCAGACTTACGCGCACCGAACTAGATCAGCTAGACAAGACACTCTACAAATCACACTTATCTTTGAGTGCAACAATGTCCACATCGGATTGGGAACATGTAGTTAAAATGACTGCCTCTTCAGCTGCCGCTATGTCGATCAAATGTAAGGACAACTTGATTTCCAAATTCAACCGCCTCTCAAAGAAGAAACCGGACCCACACATTTAAAAGCTAGATGTTAACAAAGTCGTAATTAATCGCAGTAACAGAGTCTATTTCTGAAGGTCTGAAATCCGTTTTAGCTAAAGGACTAAACTTTGCAGTCACACCTAGACACATACCAGTTAATGATATAATTGCTAGAGTAGATGTAGCTCTCAAGGGCCTGAGTCACATCGCTGCAGACGTAGCAAGATCTGAAATCTCTGCAACCCTCAAAAACGCTAAGATGCCAGCTAGCAACATCAGCAAAGATGAGCGTTTTGAATTAGCTCAATTAAAAAAGAGGGATGACATTGTCATCCTCTCAGCCGACAAAGGCAATGCCACTGTCATCATGGACAAAACAGAATACAACAACAAAATCCAAGAACTACTCAACGATAGCAGCTATACAAAAATAAAAAGAGACCCCACCAACAGCCTCGTTTCTAAAACCAAGCAAATCATTTCTGATTCAACCCCATTAATTGATCAGACCAAACAGTTCTCGTTGAAACCTTCTGCAGGCAGGCCACCAAGATTATACGGCTTGCCAAAGATACATAAAGAAGATACACCTCTTCGTTCCATTGTCTCTACTATCAACTCCCCCACCTATAAATTGGCTCGTTTTTTGTCTGAAATCCTACGGCCTTTCACTGGAAAAACCACCTCTGCGGTACTAAACTCTACTGACCTGGTATCGACAATCAAGGGGATTGCCCAGTCCCCAGACGACCTGCTTGTCAGTTTTGATGTGGTTTCCTTATTCACCAAAGTTCCTGTACCTGACACCATCACAATCATTGAAGACTTGGCTCATCAAGGACTGAATGCTGGGGTACCCCCCCTGGTGAGACACTGCTTAACCAATACATACTTCACCTGGAATGGAACTTTCTACAAGCAAACTGAGGGCACCCCAATGGGCTCCCCCCTATCTCCGGTTGTAGCCAACATCTTCATGGAGAAATTTGAGACTGACGCCATCCAGACTGCCACTCTACGCCCGACCTTATGGAAGAGGTACGTAGAGGACACTTTTGTCATCTGGCCACATGGCCGGCCTGCTCTAGACCAATTTCTCGACCACATAAATTCCATACACCCAGCCATCAGATTCACCATGTTTGCCTGGTTGTTGTTTTTTGGCGATCCCGCGTCGAAAGTGGCTCCAGAGAAATTGCTGCCGGTAGCAATAACTTGTTTAAAAGTCATTAGTCTCTGTCTCTTTCTCTCTCTCTCTACCGACGCATTGCGTCCTCCGCTCCGGTGGCACGGATGGTGCAGCGGTCCCTTTTTCGTTACGAAGGAGAACGAGGCTGACCAGAAAGGCATTGCTCATAGCGACATGCGATTGGTTTATTGGTAGTTACGGCGACATAATGAACGCACGCAATTAGAAAATTATCTTCTTAAGCAGTAAATATAAAAAACACAATTTGCAATTATACAGACCGGACAGTGCTTGTGCATGGGTGCATAACAGGTTCTATAGTGCTGGTTGCATTAACAAGCGTGGTGAAGTAGTGGATAGACCCCAAGGGCTGGCTGTGTGTGTGTATACATGGTTGTGTTACCATTCGATAATAGACGATGCCCCAATGATCACAGTGTAGTGCAGTAGCGGGTGACGTCATAATTAGCACATCATTTGTTTTACTTTACTCGGTAAGAATTTGTTGTTTTCTTCTCAGAAGCGACCGGGCCCATCACAAATGATAGCCCTACGAAGTGGCTTATTTGTCATCATCATCATCATGTGGAAATGTATAGAAGCCATATACTCTAAAAGGCGTGAGAAAAATCCATGCCACCACCGGGAGAGACGCGCAAATATACAGCAGCAGGCGTCAGGGTCGTGGATCGAACCTACGACCTCCTGTATGCCAGGCGAGGTAGTTAACATCTCGCCACCGCGGCGTCCATAGGCCTCTGAGCAACACGCCTTACCTCAAAAAAGTTTAGTTTTCTTCGTATATATTGCTCAAGTAATTTGTTTACATTTCTTATACTGTGCACTCCTATCGTGAGTTTGTATTGGTCATTGATGTCACGTTCTGACCCCGTGCTCGACTGGACATCTTGTGATCAAATAGCTTCACAGCTCATCGGATTCCTTCCACTAAACATTTATATTCCGATTACCCGCGCTATAGATTGTCAGATGACATCATTCTGATCGGCTTTGTCAATATCCCGTGGCGTGATCAATGCAATGTTTCCGTTTTTGTTTCGGTCTGTTTGTGTTTCAAAGCAAGCTCGGAGCGAGCCGAGATGAACCCAGCAGCGACGTTGGGCGAGCGGCGTCCCCCGGCCAAAGCCCCCGTCTCCTCCTCCTGCGGCGTCACGTCTAGAACTTACAGCCCTGCAGGTACACCGACACGTCGAAGTCCTGACACTTCGACTTCCAGCCATACCTGCAACGGAAGGGAGCCGCCGTTCGTTCGTTAGTTCATCCCGCTCGTTCGTTCGCTCGCTCGCTCTGGGTCAGTTCGTTGACTCGGCCAGTCCGTTCAGTCACCCCTAGTCCGTTCGTTCAGTTAGTTGTGCGTAGTGGCCCAGCCGCTGGTTGCAAAGAGTCGTGCTTCGAATCCGGGAGGCCACCATGGTTAACACTGCGGTGTGTTTTAACCCCCGACAATACTACGAAGCGTCGTCAAATTCACTCGCAGTGCGTTAGTGTGCGCTGGTGTCATGGTCCACATTTAAAACAAAAATCGCACCGCAAATGACTCCTTTGAGATCCCACAGCAGCAGCTGTCTCCCCCCTCGACTGACAGACCGATACCCGCTCAGAGCGCCCGGTGCTGAATCCACCTGGTGCCTCACAGGGACAGCTGCTACTGGGGGTGCCCCCTTGCAATGGCGTTGACATGCGATGCAAGTCTCTTATCGCGTGGGAAGCTCGCTGAGACTCCCCAGTGTTGTATCACACAACTAGAGGCCGACCGACATCCGGTTTCGGTTTCGGCGCCAAAAGTTGGAAAATGGCCTCTTTCGGCGTAGTTTCGGTTTCGGACGAAAGTAAATTTTTTACTTTCAGTTGACTTTCGGTTTCGGCCGAAACCAGAAAATCAGTTTTGGTCGGCCTCTACACAAAACTCAAACTCACGGTTTATTCACTCGCACGCACACACTAATACATGTGAAGTATTGGAATTGACGGCAGGAACTTCTTGACGGGTAACACACTTTTATTAAATCTTGACGTGTCACAATACAACGGGTGGTCTCTATCCTTTGGACTATACACTCCACTTAACTCGTGTAGACTCTATGCTTCTGGCTACACACAATACACTTGACTCGTGTAGACCCTATGCCTCTGGCTACACACAATACACTTGACTCGTGTAGACCCTATGCCTCTGGCTACACACAATGCATTCGGCTCGTGTAGACCCTATGCCTATGGCTACACACACTACACTCGCCTCTGGGTTACACAGAGTCCCGGTCCCGTTAGGACAGCGGGACTAGGTACCGCAGGGCCCTATGTCTTCATCCCCGTCTTCATTCTTCGCTGGTTACATACTGCCCTTACGCCTGTGTGCATCCCCTTTTATAGCCCCTGCTCACGAGAGACGGAGCTGATGCGGACGTCGACGTGAGCATCGCTCCTTAGTGAACCAATCACGACGCACTCTCTCTACGATCCGTTTTCCCCAGCGCGTGTTAACACTACTCCACCAATCACACCGCGCTGCCACCCGATCACTCCCTCTCAGCGCGTCACCGGCACACAGCCAATCAGTACCCCGTAACCCACGACCCCGTGCTGACCCCTGATCCTCCTCCGTCAGCGCGCGTCACCACATACACAGCCAATCATTACGCGCTGGCATACGATCCCTAATCCCAGCGCGTATCACCACTACATCACCCCCTCCCACATAGCTTGCAGCCGGCCCGGCTGTTAACCAACAACACAACCCAACGTTAACGCAATAATAAAAAAAAGAACCCCATCCCCCCCAGTGTGCCCCGTAACGCAACAACAACAACACTTAATTAGGAAGCAATATACAGCCCGATGAACAACACAATAAAAGCGAACTCCAGAAAACGAACGCGCCAAGTGTCTCTGTGACTAAACGCAGTGACGAGGCGCTCCGGCTGCCTCGACTCCTCACGTGGTAGGTCATAAAAAGTAGCGCGACCTAGCGCGAGTCCGTCTGGCCGGTCCGTCGTATGGGACGGGACGCTGGCGACCGTCCGGTGGCTCCTGCAGCTCTAGACGGCGCGGATCGGGCCTGGAAGGACCGGCCCCGCCGCGAAGATCCGGCCGCCGGTGGTCGGCAGCTGTCAGTTCCGAGACACCTGGGAGCGGATCAGGCGGAGACATGTGAGGATCAGGCAAAGACATTTCCCCCTTAGGGTCATCGGTCACGTCACATGCTCGGCCCTCACGACACAAGGGGAGGCCATATGGAGGCGAGAACGGTTTCAGTCGGGAGGGGTGGACGTACCAACGGCGTTTTCCCCATTTTATCTGAACGCACTGGGGGCGTGCAACCCGCACGACCTCCACGGGTCCCCGCCATGGCTTCAACAATTTAGGCGACGTAGCCAAAGGTGCCTGAGGGCAATGCAGCCAGGCCCTGTCACCTGGTTCCCAGTTGTGCACGGACACCTTCCGTGCACGCAACCGCTCGTTTGCAATTTGGCGAGCCCGTGAATTAAGCCGTGCGGCCTCCCTTGCCTCTGTCAGCTTATGAATATTAAATTTAATATGCTCTGCCAATTTCGAATTAGTTCGTGGTGCGGGCAGGCCCAGCTGCGTTTCCATGGGCGGGTCGGCTTCCCGACCGTACATCAGATAAAACGGGGAAAATCCCGTAGCTGCATGGGGGGCCATTCTATACGCGGCGAGGACCCCAGGGACCTGCAGGTCCCAATCAACATGTGCCTCACACACCTGCTGGCACAGCATAGAAGTCAATGTCCTGTGGAGCCTCTCCACCATCCCGTCCGTCTGCGGGTGGTACGGGGAGGTACGCACCTTCTTAGTACCCAACAGGTCGCACACCTCTTGCAGTAATTTACTCGAAAAATTTTTCCCTTGGTCGGTCAGCAAGCGTTCGGGAGCCCCCTTGTCCAGGACGTAGCCCTGGACAAAGGCGTCCGTCACAGCCGCCGCCGACTGGTTGGCGAGTGGCCACGCCATAGGCCACCGGGTAAAATATTCGACCCCCACCAACAGGTACTTATTACCCCTAGGCGTGACTGGAAAAGGCCCCAGAATATCGAGTGCAACGAGCTCGTTAGTGCGCGAGACCTGAATAGATTGCAGCGGTGGATTAGCTGCCACGGGCGGTGGTTTCCGTCTGGCGCACTCAACACAACCCTTCAGAATATTCACCACGTCACTCCCCATTCCCGGCCAATAATAGTCACGCTGAAGCAGGGCAAGCGTTTTGTTAACTCCCAAATGCAAGAGGCGTTCGTGTGCGGCCAAGACAACCTTCCCCCTCACAGCAGAAGGCACCACAATCGCGTGCCGCCGGGACAAACTGTCCCATCTCATTAACAGGCCTTGCTTAAGTACGTAGGAGCCAGTTCGTTCATGGTCACCTTCGGAACCCCCCGTCCTGCGGCGCAATGCTAGCAGGGAGCTGTCCGCCATTTGGAGACGGCCCCACTCAATCAGCGACAGTGAGAGCAGCGAGTCCTGACCCCCTGGGGTAGCGGGAACATCCCCAATTGGTGTGCCCGCGGTCGCAACCAACGCCTCCATACCTTCCGTAACTGGCGGTTTACAGCGCGCCGATCCCGATAAGCACGCACATTTGTGACAAGGCAACAACCGCGACAGGGCATCGGCATTTGTGTGTCGCAACCCCTTACGGTATGTAGTCGTGAACTGATAGTCCTGGAGGACTTCCAACCACCGCGACAATTGGCCCGAGGGCTGGGCGACCCGCAATGAATACTGGAGCGCCGCGTGGTCCGTCCGGACCGTAAAGTGACGACCATAGAGATATGGTCTGAATTGTTGTACGAAAAAAACAATGGCAAGCAGCTCGCGACGGGTGACGCAGTAGCGCTGCTCTGCCGGCGACAACACCCTGCTACCATAGGCGACCACCCGTTCGACCCCCCCAACGACTTGGGACAGCACCCCCCCAATGCCCGTGTTGCTAGCATCCGTGTCTAGCAAGAAGGGACTCGCAAAGTCAGGATAGCGCAAGGGTGGGGCCCCTACCAAGGCGTCCCGGAGGGAGCAGAATGCAGCCTCCTCCTCCGGTCCCCATCGGAACTTCACTCCTTTCGCCGTTAGAGCGTGCAAGGGTTTTGCAATGGTGGCGAAGTGCTCAACGAATCGGCGATAATAAGAAGCAAAACCGATGAAACTGCGCACGTCCGAAACTGACGTGGGCGTCGGCCACGAACTGACACAGTCCGTCTTCGCAGGATCGGTAGAAATCCCCGAAGAGTCGACAATGTGACCCAAGTATCTAACGGATTTACGAAAAAGGTGGCATTTGGCCGGTTTAAACTTTAATTTAGCCGATCGCGTTCGCAAGAACACCCCTCTCAATCGCTGGAGGTGTTCTTCAAACGTTTTACTGAAAACAATGACATTGTCAAGGTAAATCAGGCACGTATCCCATTGCAAGCCCGACAAAACCAACTCCATAAGGCGCTGAAACGTCGCAGGAGAGGAGTGAAGTCCCATGGGTAACCGGTTAAACTGAAACAGGCCCCCTGGAGTCCGAAATGCAGTCTTAGGCTTAGACTCTTCGTCGAGTGGCAACTGCCAGAATCCGGATAATAAATCAAGAGTCGAAAAGTATCGCGCACCAGACAATGCATCGAGGGACTCGTCCATCCTGGGGAGCGGATACGCGTCGGCCACAGAGATCTTATTCAGGCGACGGAAATCGACGCAAAATCGCAAGGACCCATCCTGCTTTTTAACGAGCACAATAGGTGCTCCCCAAGGACTGGAAGAAGGCGAAATAATGTCGGCTTCTAGCATATCGTTAACGGCCGACTGAACATGTTCCTTCTCAGCAGGACTCAGTCGGAAGGGATTTAGCCTGACCGGTGCCGCATCGCCCGTTTCAATGTGGTGGCGTAACAGGTCCGTGCACCCAATGTCATACTTATGTTTACTGAAGACATCCGAAAATTCAATCAGCAACCCGCGCAGCGCACCCAACTGTACCGCTGACAAATCGTCAGAGTCCGCGCACAGCGAATCGACCCATTCGAGGTCCTCCTTCGGTTTAACGTTTTGCATGGGGCTCGGATCAGCCTGCGCAACTAGCCGCTCTTCCGCAGGGACCCGCGCCGCGTGAGCTAGCACGGTGCCCTGCTGAATGACGGCCGGCCGCGACCCAGCGTTTAAAACCATCACAAACGGATCCCTGTCAGCCCCAACCAAAGTGTGAGCCACCGACAAATCGAGACCTCCAACAGCCCTATTAGAAGGACCCAAAAGCATGCCTTGTTCCGAGGCCTCCCTCACCCACGGTTTCCGCAACCGGTACGGAATTAACATTTGTGAACCCGGGGGCACGTGCACGGTCTGTGTCGCTAACGCTTGTATCGTAGCGCACGCCGTCCGAATTTCAGTAGGGCTCGTCAAAAATGAAATACGGCGACCCGATGGTAGTTCAATGCAACGCTGATCAATGAGAATTTTGATGGGCATTTTCGCCAAAAAACAGTGCCCAATAGACAAGGAACCGCCAGGGAGGACGAAACGAAAACGGGTCCCGACAATTTGATATCTCCAATGCAAATGGACGCCCTAATCTGACCGATAATGCCCAACGATCCCCCGTTAGCGGCGTAAAATGGCACATCCACCGGAAGAAGCGGACGACATTGTACAGGGAGAATGTTATAAATGAGGTCCGATATAATAGTCGCCGATGCCCCCGTGTCCACTAACACCCTGACCTCGACCCCATCAATAGATCCCGTAACGACGGATGAACCCGCTGAGGCAGCCACTATTCTGTGCCCCAACTCCGACCATTTAATGTCTCCCCGGTCCCGGCCGAACCCCCCTCGCCGAACCGAATCCCCGAACCCTACTCGGCTCTCCTCCGCCGCAACGCGACGGCCCATGCGTGTCGAGTATGCGGGCCGAGTATGTGAGGTGCCGCGACTTGCCGGGGTTTGTAGGGATGACTTGGGGCCTTGTTCGTCGTCCAGCCGAGGTCCCATGGCGCGCTGACGTGGGGCGCGGCAACCGGAGGCCACATGGCCCCGGAGGCCGCAGTTATAACACGTGATGACAGTCGTCGGAGATCTCGGTTGCTCCAGCTTGCGGGCCGATCGCAGAGGCGAACGACCCCCCGACCTCCAGTCCCCCGGTCGTCCCGCGATGAACGCCTTTTCTCGTGGGCTGACGACTTGGGGCACGGTGACTACCGGGCCCGGAGCTGAGGCCACGGCAGCGTTGCAGACGACCCTCTGTTTACGTTGAAGGACCTCGTGCGCTTGTATGCTCGTAGCGACCCGTAAGGAAGAAATATCAGTCTCGTCGGCCGTGTTGATGGGGACCCCCAGGTCCTGCGCCAACTTGAGCAGTTGCTCCAAAACCATCGCATCTTGGCCCTCCTCGTCCATACGAGGGAACGCGGCATCGGCGAGAGCCAGCAACGCCGTGCGATAGGCGAGCACGATCTCCGTGTCCGCCTTCCGTCTTGCATAAAAATGATGGCGACACGCCGAGGGAGGACCGTAGACCTTGGCCATGAGAGCCAGCGCATCCTTGAGCGTGGAGCGGTCCGACCTGCGTGCGGACGTGAAGGCCGCGAGCGCGTTGTCGTCCAGCATGGCAGGCAGTGCCCGCAGTGCCGTAGCGTCGGACCAGGCGGACATCTCCTGATGCGCCAAAAACCTGCGCTGAAATTGGCCCCAGTCCCCGCCTTCCGCCTTGAAGGCTGACAACGTGGGAAGGCGCTGTTGAAAGATGAAGTCGTCCTCCGCCTCGTGCTTCCTCTCCGCCGCCCCGTCGGTGTGTAAGATGGCGGCCCCAGTGGCGGGTGTTTGATGGCGGTCCGCAGCGCGCGTTGGTGACGTAAGCAGGCGCGCTTGGAGAACCGCTGCCACGTGGTGATGGCCGTTCCCGCCAAAAGTCGGCGCAGATGAAATGGCGGGAATCGCCAAGTCATTTTGGCGGGAATCTGCGGGGCGACCCTGTAGAACGTCCGCCGCCGTCCCCGCTCCTCCCGACGAGCTGATCTCCGCCAGGATGGACGCGGCGGCGAGCAGCAGCTCCGCCAGACGGGAGTGCGCCTCGCGGAGCACGGCGTCGGTCCCCCGTCGCTCGTCCGGCGCCGTTGGCGGATCCTGCAGCGTGGGCAATTCCTCGTCCTCACCCCCCGATGCCAGCTGGCCCGAGTCGTCGAGGTTGTCCCCGCAGTCAATCCCGTGGGTCCGACGGGTCTTCCTTGTATCCATGCTTGGAAGACCGTTTCACTTCTGACGCCAGTTGAAGTATTGGAATTGACGGCAGGAACTTCTTGACGGGTAACACACTTTTATTAAATCTTGACGTGTCACAATACAACGGGTGGTCTCTATCCTTTGGACTATACACTCCACTTAACTCGTGTAGACTCTATGCTTCTGGCTACACACAATACACTTGACTCGTGTAGACCCTATGCCTCTGGCTACACACAATACACTTGACTCGTGTAGACCCTATGCCTCTGGCTACACACAATGCATTCGGCTCGTGTAGACCCTATGCCTATGGCTACACACACTACACTCGCCTCTGGGTTACACAGAGTCCCGGTCCCGTTAGGACAGCGGGACTAGGTACCGCAGGGCCCTATGTCTTCATCCCCGTCTTCATTCTTCGCTGGTTACATACTGCCCTTACGCCTGTGTGCATCCCCTTTTATAGCCCCTGCTCACGAGAGACGGAGCTGATGCGGACGTCGACGTGAGCATCGCTCCTTAGTGAACCAATCACGCCGCACTCTCTCTACGATCCGTTTTCCCCAGCGCGTGTTAACACTACTCCACCAATCACACCGCGCTGCCACCCGATCACTCCCTCTCAGCGCGTCACCGGCACACAGCCAATCAGTACCCCGTAACCCACGACCCCGCGCTGACCCCTGATCCTCCTCCGTCAGCGCGCGTCACCACATACACAGCGAATCATTACGCGCTGGCATACGATCCCTAATCCCAGCGCGTATCACCACTACACATGTACAGCCCTTTGTCAATCCACTGCTGCACGAAGACATCCTCACGTCGCATTGAGTCATGTGGGATTCTTTGACCATACTTCACCACCCTGGTCAGTGCGAGGACTGGTTCAGATATCACTCGTCACTGATGTTAGCCGTGGCAGGGAATTGAACTTAAATAATTTGTGGTCTTATGGTAACAAGTGAACCACCGTGCCACCTTGACGCTGCTGGTGATCGAGCAGATGATGACGCTGATAATGATGCCGACAATGATATGGCTGATAACGCCGAAGATGACGATGCTGATGATGATGATTCCGCTGGTGATGACGAGGATGATGCCGATGTGGATGGTGCTGGCGAAGCTGCCGATGCAGATGACGATGATGCCGATGACGATGCCGATTCGTGGTGAACCGTGCCGTGTCCTGCTGCTGCGTGTGCCGTGGCTACGCACCAGGCCTTCAGTCCCTGCTGCTTGAGAATCAACTTGGCGCAGGCGACGGACTTTGTGATGTCGTCGTCAAGGAGATCTGTGAACAACAGCAAGGACGTTGAGAAGAAGCAGCAGAGCGGTGGCAGAGATGCGGAGAGTGGCACCGCTGAGCTCCTGGGTTCCAACGCGGGTGTTCGGCGCTGACGGTGATTACACCGGCAGTGAGATGGTGGTCTCAGCCCGGTCACCATAAACTCACATAGAGCCCCATAGACTTACACAGAGAACCATCGACTGAAGTAGAGACCCATAGACTTACACACAGATACATAGACTCACATAGAATCACAGACTCACACAGAAAGCCATGGATTAAACGGACACAGACTCCTCGCACAGAGACACATACACTCACACATCTAACCCTAGACCCACAAAAAAGCTATATTACATTTCTCAACATAATAGAAGTTTCAGGAAACGGGCCTTCATAGCACATCAAAAAGGCTTCGACAGGACACGTCACGTGGCCTGTGGTCAAGGACAATAACAGAGTGGCAGCCAAGGAATAGAGAACGCGTCTGAGAAGACCTCCACGGTGGAGACGGAGTGGTGAGATCAGCTCGTGCGGCGGTGTTGGTGCCGACTTTTCAGTTTTCAGTTTCATGTATTAGGTATAGCCCTGTGAGCCATGCAGCTCTTGACTCAAGTGCAACCGCAACAAACAAAAACATGAACAAGAAACATCTTAAAGTGACGACACGCAACAGAAAAATCCACGAAAAAACGGCAAAGTTTTCCAGAAAAAGCACCGTATATCAACGCTGTGTGCAAAAATCCCAGTGGGATGCAAGTTAAACAATAACAACCATAATACGATTTAGATTAAAGTTATCAGGCTAACTCTGTACTTCAACAAACAAACATGGCTAAACCAAAACGTTTTCAAAATCACCAAAATAAAGCTATAAAAACAATGTAACAGTGACCATAGGAACTGTGATTCAAATTTAACAATAAACGATATACATAACATGTACGACCAAACATTGCAGCCATAGCTGGCTGCACGAGTCACTCCATAACAGCAGGAGCATCAGTAGCAGCGTGTGTGGCCGAGCGCCGGGCACACGGCGCCGTGATCTGGCCGAGGTAGGAGGGGTCCAAAGGGCCCGGAGGAAAGCCACGCAGAGCAGGGGGAGAGCAGAGAGAGAGTCCACTCAGAGAGGAGCCAGAGTGAGGAGTAGACTGTGACCGACGACGATGGCGATGATTATGGCGATAATGAAGACAATGACGAGCATAATGGCGATGACGATTATGATGACGGTAATGAAGACAATGGCAATGATGACGATTATGATGACGGTAATGAAGACAATGGCAAATGATGACGATTATGATGACGGTAATGAAAACAATGGCGATGATGACGATTATAATGACGGTAATGAAGACAATGGCAAATGATGACGATTATGATGACGGTAATGAAAACAATGGCGATGATGACGATTATGATAACGGTAATGAAGACAATGGCGATGATGACGATTAAGATGACGGTAATGAAGACAATGGCAATGATGACGATTATGATGACGATAATGAAGACAATGGCGATGATGATTATGATGACGGTAATGAAGACAATGACGATGACGATTATGATGACGGTAATGAAGACAATGACAATGATGACGATTATGATGACGGTAATGAAGACAATGACAATGATGACGATTATGATGACGGTAATGAAGACAATGACAATGATGACGATTATGATGACGGTAATGAAGACAATGGCGATGATGACGATTATGATGACGGTAATGAAGACAATGACGATGACGATTATGATTACGGTAATGAAGACAATGGCAATGATGACGATTATGATGACGGTAATGAAGACAATGGCAATGATGACGATTATGATGACGGTAATGAAGACAATGCCAATGATGACGATTATGATGACGGTTATGAAGACAATGGCAATGATGACTATTATGATGACGGTAATGAAGACAATGGCGATGATGACGATTATGATGACGGTAATGAAGAAAATGGCAATGATGACGATTATGATGACGGTAATGAAGACAATGGCAATGGTGACGATCATGATGACGGTAATGAAGACAATGCCAATGATGACGATTATGATAACAGTAATGAAGACAATGGCAATGATGACGATTATGATGACGGTAATGAAGACAATGCCAATGATGACGATTATGATGACGGTAATGAACACAATGCCAATGATGACGATTATGATAACGGTAATGAAGACAATGGCAATGATGACGATTATGATGACGGTAATGAAGACAATGGCAATGATGACGATTATGATGACGGTAATGAAGACAATGGCAATGATGACGATTATGATGACGGTAATGAAGACAATGGCAATGATGACGATTATGATGACGGTTATGAAGACAATGGCAATGATGACGATTATGATGACGGTAATGAAGACAATGGCGATGATGACGATTATGATGACAGTAATGAAGACAATGGCAATGATGACGATTATGATGACGGTAATGAAGACAATGACGATGATGACGATTATGATGACGGTAATGAAGACAATGGCGATGATGACGATTATGATGACGGTAATGAAGACAATGGCGATGATGACGATTATGATAACGGTAATGAAGACAATGGCGATGATGACGATTATGATGACGGTAATGAAGACAATGGCAATGACGATTATGATGAAGGTAATGAAGACAATGGCGATGATGATGATGATGGCAATGAAGACAATGGCAATGACGATTATGATGATGGTAATGAAGACAATGGCGATGATGACGATTATGATGAAGGTAATGAAGACAATGGCGATGACGATTATGATGACGGTAATGAAGACAATGGCGATGACGATTATGATAACGGTAATGAAGACAATGGCGATGACGATTATGATGAAGGTAATGAAGACAATGGCAATGATGACGATTATGATGACAGTAATGAAGACAATGGCGATGACGATTATGATGACGGCAATGAAGACAATGGCAATGATGACGATTTTGATGACGGTAATGAAGACAATGGCGATGACGATTATGATGACGGTAATGAAGACAATGGCAATGATGACGATTATGATGACGGTAATGAAGACAATGGCAATGATGACGATTATGATGACGGTAATGAAGACAATGGCGATGACGATTATGATGACGGTAATGAAGACAATGGCAATGATGACGATTATGATGACGGTAATGAAGACAATGACAATGATGACGATTATGATGACGGTAATGAAGACAATGACAATGATGACGATTATGATGACGGTAATGAAGACAATGGCGATGATGACGATTATGATGACGGTAATGAAGACAATGACGATGACGATTATGATTACGGTAATGAAGACAATGGCAATGATGACGATTATGATGACGGTAATGAAGACAATGGCAATGATGACGATTATGATGACGGTAATGAAGACAATGCCAATGATGACGATTATGATGACGGTTATGAAGACAATGGCAATGATGACTATTATGATGACGGTAATGAAGACAATGGCGATGATGACGATTATGATGACGGTAATGAAGAAAATGGCAATGATGACGATTATGATGACGGTAATGAAGACAATGGCAATGGTGACGATCATGATGACGGTAATGAAGACAATGCCAATGATGACGATTATGATAACAGTAATGAAGACAATGGCAATGATGACGATTATGATGACGGTAATGAAGACAATGCCAATGATGACGATTATGATGACGGTAATGAAGACAATGCCAATGATGACGATTATGATAACGGTAATGAAGACAATGGCAATGATGACGATTATGATGACGGTAATGAAGACAATGGCAATGATGACGATTATGATGACGGTAATGAAGACAATGGCAATGATGACGATTATGATGACGGTAATGAAGACAATGGCAATGATGACGATTATGATGACGGTTATGAAGACAATGGCAATGATGACGATTATGATGACGGTAATGAAGACAATGGCGATGATGACGATTATGATGACAGTAATGAAGACAATGGCAATGATGACGATTATGATGACGGTAATGAAGACAATGACGATGATGACGATTATGATGACGGTAATGAAGACAATGGCGATGATGACGATTATGATGACGGTAATGAAGACAATGGCGATGATGACGATTATGATAACGGTAATGAAGACAATGGCGATGATGACGATTATGATGACGGTAATGAAGACAATGGCAATGACGATTATGATGAAGGTAATGAAGACAATGGCGATGATGATGATGATGGCAATGAAGACAATGGCAATGACGATTATGATGATGGTAATGAAGACAATGGCGATGATGACGATTATGATGAAGGTAATGAAGACAATGGCGATGACGATTATGATGACGGTAATGAAGACAATGGCGATGACGATTATGATAACGGTAATGAAGACAATGGCGATGACGATTATGATGAAGGTAATGAAGACAATGGCAATGATGACGATTATGATGACAGTAATGAAGACAATGGCGATGACGATTATGATGACGGCAATGAAGACAATGGCAATGATGACGATTTTGATGACGGTAATGAAGACAATGGCGATGACGATTATGATGACGGTAATGAAGACAATGGCAATGATGACGATTATGATGACGGTAATGAAGACAATGGCGATGACGATTATGATGACGGTAATGAAGACAATGTCAATGATGACGATTATGATAACAGTAAAAAAGACAATGGCGATGACGATTATGATAACGGTAATGAAGACAATGGCGATGATGACGATTATGATGAAGGTAATGAAGACAATGGCGATGACGATTATGATGACGGTAATGAAGACAATGGCGATGACGATTATGATAACGGTAATGAAGACAATGGCGATGACGATTATGATGAAGGTAATGAAGACAATGGCAATGATGACGATTATGATGACAGTAATGAAGACAATGGCGATGACGATTATGATGACGGCAATGAAGACAATGGCAATGATGACGATTT